ATATATATATATCACTGGGTATGCCACCAGTGGTCTTTTGGAAACACCCCATCTCTACAGTAAGCATTATAATGCAATCAGTAAATAATGTGGGTTTGAGGTAAAGCATATCTGACTAGGCAACACCCACCACAGAGTAGGATTTCATTATCAATGGTTAAAACTAGGGTTGCTGAAAATAAAAACATAAATGAAAGGAAGTGATAAGACTTACCCCAAGGTGAATGGCATGTGTAGAATTACCACGGGAGGGAGATAATATCCAAGAGAAATATACAACCAGATTGTACAGATAATGAGCATTGAAGGTATTGGGAGTATTCCACATTCCAGCCTCAACAATTTCCTCCAAAGTACAGCGTGGGCGGCTAAGGACACAGTGATCTGACGAATTTCATGAAAACAAACGTTGTGGAAACAGCAACCTTTCATGGATAAGTATGAATATGCCAGCCTAACGAGTTGACAAACCCAACTAGTGAGAATGACAGGGGACAGATCACAGGAAATGGAAGGGTTCCCGGGAATGTGAACCCTGAAAGAAGACAGTAACTGTCACATAAAACCAGACAAAGAAGCCAATCAGGATCAGAATGGGAGTACAGGTGGGAAATGGAAGGTTAGGAAATGAGTGTGAAAGCCAAACCACCTTCACAGGCAGCATACGTCTTAGGAAGGAAGGACTGGTCGGGGAGTAGAGGATGTAATTGTTGAAAATCCAAAAATGGGTCTGATGCATGATGGTATACCAAAGCATATTGGTCCAACAAACAAGGGGGGGGGGGGTGGAGCACACCAACACTCAACTGAATTTGGTAAGAATGCATGACTCCAAAGGAGGGAAGTGACAGGGGAAGACAAAACATGGAGAAATGGAAGGTGTTCGACAAGGATGCCATATAACTAGACACCGTCGAATTGGATAAGCTTTTGTCAAACAAACAGATGAAGAATTAAGAAAGATAAAGAACAGAAGGGTGGGAATGATGGAAGCCACGTCAAATAGACCAAAGGCAAAAGGTAGAACAATGCCTTTGATAAACGGCCATGGAAGAAGGTCTGAAAGGAAAGATGCTACATGAAGAGTCAGTTCCTGGGCTGAGGCAATGTACCTGACAAAAGCCATGATTGAAGGCAGAGTTTGGTTATGTCTGAATGAATAATGCTCATTTGAGGTAGACTGATGAGAGAGCAAGACATAGGTAAGTGTAGGGGAGGTTGTACAGGTTGGGGCAGAAGGAACCATAGCTGCAAAGGTCAGTACGGAGCCACAAGAAAGACTAGACACAGTGTCTTCAATTAGGGATATATCTCTGGAGAGGAGTTGAATAAGAGGGTCAGCATATATGTGAAGACCCCTCCAAACATGACTGAATGCATCCACCCTAGAGCTAACAGGTGTGTAATGGGAGACCAAAAGTAAGTTTGGAGTTCCAATGGGTTGATATAAAGTGTTTCCAGCTGAGAACACACCCACAAAAAGACTTGTGGATTGAGGGACCACTCCATGGGGAGAATATTGCTGGAACGAGATAATTGATCTGCAACCAGAATCATAGCATCAGGAACATGGCAAGGTTAGACCACATTGTGGTGACTTTGTGCCCAGAAAAGGAGATCCAGGGTTTGAAAACACAGGCCTGTATTTGGTTCCCTCTTTCTTGATGATATAAGTGACAACAGTAGAGTTGTCAGAGTGGATCATAACCACCCTCCCTTGCAGGAGAGGAAGTGGGACAAAGTTCGATGAACTGCCATAAGGCCAAGAATATGTAGGGCACACTCCTTGACTGACCAGAGACTGGAAATATCCCTAGAGTCTAGGATAGCACTCCGACCTCTAAAGATGCATCTTTCAACAGATGTAACTCTGGAGGAAGTGGAATCCCTACTGTGGTCTGGTTCCTGTCGAGGCACCAAGCTAGGTTGACATTGATAATGGAAGGAAGAGCAGCAGGATGGTCCAAGGGAACCAAGGAGAAGTTCCACAGATTGAGGAGTGTCCCCTGAAGTGAATACATATGAGCTTGACCCATGGGAATGAGAGTCTCCAAGGAAGCCCACATCCCCAAAAGATATAGAACCTCTCAAGCCCTGTGAGAATATGAGGTGAGTGCTTGCTCCATATCCAAAAGAAGAAAAGATTGAGCTTGGCTGAAGCTGCAGTTGAAGAAAAACCCCAAATGAACAAGGTATTGAGTGTGAGTTATAATAGACGTTTCCACCTTGATCATAAAACCCACCCATGCTGCTTTTTGTAGGAGGAGATAAGTGTGATCCCCTGACTGTAAATGGGAAGAAGTGAGCAGGAGCCATTTGTCCATGTAATGATGAGTGTGAAGACTCATTGAGTGAAGGTGTCAGATAAAATTGTGTAACACCTGACAAAACGCATAAGGAGCCAAGGATAGTATGAATGGCATGGCCCTGAACTGGAACACATGACCCTCATGGACAAACCAAAGAAAACAATGTGACTCGGGAGCAATAAGAATGTGAAGATAGGCATCTGTCATGTTGAACTTGATCATCCAATGTCCCAGGGAAAATACCTACTGAAGTGAGATATAGAACTCCATACAGAAGCAAGGGGGAGTGGGTCCAGAAAAGCATTCAACTGGGACAGATTAATGATAGGTCTCCAATCTCCCATCTTCTTGTGGACCACGTTGGTTGAATGAAGAACACCTGCTCAATAGCTTCTTTGTGTAGCAGGTCATGGACAGCCTTGGTAAAACAAGTGAGATATGAAGGAAATGGGAGACTGGAACTGAAGGCAGAGACCTCTTTTATAGGACCCTAGGATCTGTCATTCCCTGGTGGCATTCAGCCAGGGAGGGGGGATGGGAAGGTAAGGGACTATGTGAGGAAGGAGGAGGAAAGGAAATAAGGACAGGTGACTCCTGGGAGGAAGTGATAGGGTGAGATAAATGTGTGGCCAGTGAAGACAAGAAAGAAAGCATGCTAGCCACATCAATCATGGATTCCAGTGAATCAGGATGGCTCCCCAAATATGGTATTGCTTAGAAAGGAGGCCTGAATAGAGGCCAGGGATGAATGTGGGAGATGCATCCCTGCAAGTAAAATATCCCTCCCCAACAACACAGGAGCCAGGTATTGAGGGAAAGGGCACAGGCCAATAAACATCCATAGTGGACCAAAGGAGGGCCCTGAGATCATCTGAAAAATGTTCAGGGGAGTGACTAAAGGCCTTGGAGAATAATTAGAGGGAAGACAGTTAACATAAAAGGGTGGAGGGAAAGTCAAATCCTTGAGAATTGAGCCTGATTAAAAGGAACCAAAGTCCCTGGATTCAGGTCCAACAGGAGGAGTAGAGGATGTAATTGTTGAGAATCCAAAAATGGGTCTGAAGCATGATGGTATATCAAAGCATATTGGTCAACAAACAAGGGGGGGCGGAGCACACCAACACTCAACTGAATTTGGTAAGAAAATCTCTGAGCATGAACTCGTATGTCTGGCAGAGTGGGAAAAATAATAATCAGAATGTGGAATGTTGCCCAATAAGGAAGGGGAGGCATGATTGGTGATAGAGGAAACATGTAAAGTATTACATACCTTCAAGTTGTAAAAAGGGGTTGGAGGTGAAATTTTCTGAATAGATGTATATTGTGACTGACCAAAATAAGAAGGTGCTGGAAAAAGAGAGTCCAAATTTTTTCACTATGATGGTAATTTTCCTCAGAAACATGTTCAGGTTGAAAAGGAGAAGAAATTGCCAGCTGAACATATGACTTTAGTTCCCTGCAAATTAAGGCTTGTACTTCCTCTGCAGATAGTTAAACCTGAGTCCTGGGAAGTCATACCATTTGCGTTTTCAACTGTCAAGGAAATTTCCAATACACTGAACCTCGATTCATGCTAATTACACTTAGAATTCAGAAACAAGAAAAAACTTCAAATGCGAAACCATTAAAACAGTTAAATTCAAACACTAATAAATAAAACTTGAATGAAAGATATTTTTGAAATGACAACAAAGCATAATCAGAAACTGTTGTCACACTCTAAAAAATATGTCTGAACATTGTAGTGCCAATCAAGGAAGTGAGGATTGAGCAGGACTAACAGAGGGGGCTAGCTATGCCAATATAGGTGATGCAGTACTATTGGTGGAGAATAGAGGCATGATATACACATGTTCAGAAATGTCACGAAATTGATGGGGTATATAGACTGATGTGCTGATCACAAAAAGTTTTTAGCAATGCTTCCTATTCTATTTTAATACAATAAGCCAGGTTCTCCCTTGTTATGCAAGGTTTGCATAGTTTCAGTAATATTTAACTTTATCATAACATTCCTTTGCTTTATTTTAACATTGCAGGGTTATTTTTGTAGTTTAACTTTCTCATCTTTTTTTAGCATACACTGGACTAGTAAGAGATACAACTTATCTATAAAAGTTATGTTTGCATAAATTTACCTGATTACATTACGTATTTATATAATACACTAAGTATAAAATATTATTCACATATTACTTGAAGGAACTCTAATTCAGTTGGAAAATATTTTATAACTTTATGCTAAATTACAAAACAACTTTACTCCATTATTCTGTTTTTGGTTTAGTGAATGAAATGTAAAGTTAAATAAAATAACATACTGTTTACAAGGAAACCTTTTTTTATTTATTTATATACCAACAAGTACCCACCGCAGGTATTGAAACCTGATTTTTAGCATTATAAGATATCAGAACAGCCGCTGAACCACCAGAGAGAAAAATACACTTATTTGACAGTATATCTTTTAATATTTGTAAACATGTGAATGAGAATTTGTAAATAAAGAATCAAAACTAATTAGGTCTTTTAGACTTGCAAGTAAATTGTTATCATGTGCAACAATTTTCTTTCGGGTAGATAAATTATTTTCATAAATACAGAATTACTATTATTGTGAACAAAGCTAGGCTTATACTGTGTTTTTTATACATGTATGTAGACATAAAATAGTTGGTACATTTTTGTCAGATTACAGAAGCATTGACCTACTTGATTCGTAAAGCTGCAGATCTAGAGACAAGAATTGTGTCTGTGGAAAGAATTGATGAGTACAATGATCTCCCTGCTGAGGTATTGTTAAAAAGAGAACAGAGGATTTTTTTTTTCTATTTCATAAAACACACACTTTTGTACAGAAAAAATTACATTAAATTAAGTAAATGAATAATTATAATTTTTTGTTTTCAGTATATTTATTTAAATGTTTTTCTTTTAATCTGTTTATTAGAGACTAAGTTTTGTTAGAAAATTAATACTTGTTTTGTTTTTTTTCTATTTGAAGTTCATCTTTTGTCTAAGTGAATTATCTTTCTATATAAAACAAGTTTTCAGTTATTTCATGTGTACTAGAAAGTGGTGAAAATAACAAATATATAGAATAATTAAACATTACATTTATGTTTTAAGAATAATAAGTTATCAAAAATGTTATATTATTAAAAACTAAATTGTTTTAGTCACATTTTTGGCTGTGATTACTTTTAACGGATTTGTTTTATTACATTTGCACAATAATATGATTCGGAGAATTATAAAAACATTTTAAATATAACATTGTGGTAGCATTGTTCTTTCGTTTACTAGTTATTTTAGATTAAAGATGAAATTTTTTCCAATTTTAGTACAGGTAAACTATAACGAATTAGTCTACTTCCTGTTTTCATGTTTCTTAAAGCTTGAATATTTGTACACTATCGTAAAATTATGTAAGTCTACGTTAAAGATAATCTTAACTAATGTAAAACAAGTCAACTTACATGTGCAAAGTAATTCAATAACTGCAATACCAAATATGGATTGAAATACTTCACAATCCAACTATCTGGGAAAAAAATCTTTACACCATTAACTATCTTGTGTGTGTGTTCCAATATGCTACAAACTTTGCATCACATCATTAAACCATTCTAGGTGTTTTACTCCTTATTAAACATGTGAATGTTTTCATTAAGGCCATCAGCTCCCTCTAGCTAACATTTAATTTACAACATTAGAAACACAGCTTATCATACTGCCTCTTCTTGGATTGTGAAATCCCTGAAACATTCTTAATACAATAAATAAAACATTAGATTATCCATTCGGCAAGCTTTTTGGTGGTTTTTACTTTCAAGGCCTATGGGATGATATTTGGTCTCTTGTTTTCATTTGTTGTCCTGCTACTGAGAAAGTTCTTCTTCAATAAATGGTAGAGTAAATCCACTGGTTGCTCCAGCCTTGATAATCCTCTGGAAGTAAACTTGATAGGAACTCCAGGCTCCTTAGCAGGTTGAGTTTCTGCTGAAAAGTTCTCTTCTTGAGTTACCCAGTTGGCCATTCTCACACCAATGTATTCCCAATGCTAACCACAATGTATGATCTTTAACTTGAATAACCTTATCCTTCTGTATTCTGGAAAGGAATGTTTTCAGTACAGCATATGGCCCCTCCCAGCACCAGCACTGTTTAACCTTGGAGCTGATCCTTTCTTTCAGCAGGGATTGTACAACTATACCATGTCATCTTGATAGACTCCATAGCAACTTTTCATTTTACCACTAGCTGGTTTAAGTCATTTTAAAGTAAAGTCATCTATGTCATCATTGGTGTTCCTTAATCCCTATGTATCCTGTTTAAAACTTTTAAGTGACAGTTCTCCAGATAAGAATACAAAAGGTCCAGTAGCACTTTCAGTTCTCTCATGAACATCAGTTATAGTGGTATGTTGCAGGTAGCTTCGTTGCTGTATAACTCAACAATAATAGTGGAAGATTAAGATTCCACATCTTCTGGTGTTCCTCCACATACCTGGCTATTTGATTTAACAAATGTGCTGTTCTTTTTCTTCCTTCTGTCAGAAGATGGATGGTGATATTTTGTTCAAGTCTTTTTAATCCAGAGGATAAGACACACTTCCAAAAATAAACTTGAGCCAGTGTACCATCCCTGAATCGAGTACAGTTCCATAGGCACATCAGATATCAAAACAACTTTACTGCAAGTTCTTTTGTGAGAGTTTCTGCTTTCTGGTTAGGAACAGCATATGCATCTGACCACTTGGTGAAACAGTCCATCACAACCATGATGTAATCTATTCCAACTGTGACTCATGGAAGAAGGCCAAACACATCAACAGTAACTCTTTCCAATGGTGCTTCAACACAGTACTGCTCTATCTGCCCATACTATGTCTTTTGTGGACCTTTCCACTCACAAAATGGTCCATGTGTTTTACACTAATTCTTCCCATACCTCCCCCTGGCACCCAACCCAGTAGAAGCATTCTCATAGTCACTCCAGTGTTTTCTCAACATCTAAGTGTTGGAAGATTATGGAGATGGAGTAATGCATAATGAAAAGACTATAATAATTGCTTCTATCCACTAATAGCTTCCCACTTTTGACATAATAAGCCATATTGTAAGCATAAGAAATCCCACTGTATTTACATTTATGAAGGCACTGTTTGACTTTAGGATCTTTCTGCACTATTCTTGAACTACTGAATAATTGGTTTCAAACTCGAATCTTTTACCTAAGCAGCTTCCAGTTGGGTGTTTGGCCTCACCAGTTCTCCATCACCACCAGTAGATGCCACATATTGGTCTGTATTTGCTGTACTTTAAGTTGGTCGTATTTTCTATCTTGTTCTTCCTTTTCTCACAGTGTTTACACTCTTCATTAACCCATAACCTTCAACATAAAGCATTAATATTTCCATGGTTTCATCCAGGGTGATGTATGATGTCAAAGTTGTTCTTCTGGAGTTTCTGAGACCATCTTGCTATTTGGCCTTCTAGGCTGTCTGTTCAGAACATAAACTTTTGTCCATAAAGATAAAGGGCTCAAACAACACTTAGTAGCTCCTTTCAAGTTGTTCAACACCTTCCTTCTACAGTATTCATTGCCTTGTTACAGTAGGCAATCAAATACTCCTTTCTTTGTTATACTTGTGACAAAACTGTTCCCATTACAAAATATGCCAATAACAGTCAGTTCCTTCTTAAACTTGTATAATGCTTCATCACAATCAGCAGTCCAACAAAAGTTTTTGCTTTTCAAGTAGTTTGTTTAGAGAACGAGCTATGTTAAAGAATAATTTTATAAAATGATAATAGTAAAAGCACAGTCCAAGAAATCTTCTTACCTCATGCAGGTTTTTGGTGTTTGCCAATTCTGAACAGAGTCTTTGATGGACATGTAGACACTTCCTCTCTGCTGATTGTGTCCCAGGAAATATGTCTTTTGACAGAATAATTAACACTTCTTTGGATTCAACCATTCCCAAAACTTCCTTAGTTCATCATAAGCTTTATCCAAAGTCTTCCTATGTACAATTATCTCATCTAAGTATATGATGTTCCAGAGTAGTTCAGACAGAGCAGAGTCCATTAATCATTGGAATTTAACAGGAGCATTACGTATTCCATGTGGTAACAACAAATTGCCACAATCCATTTACTGCAATAAATGCTTTCTCCTTTCTGCTTGCTCTGTTTAACTTGCACTTGCCAATAATGTCTACTCTTGAGCCATTTCGATCCAGATAGAGCATCCAAGATAGAGTCAATCTTTGGCATGGGTAGACATCCTTCTTTGTAACTTCATTTACCTTTTGGTAATCCACACATAAACTTGTCGATCAAACCTTTTTCTTCACAAGTACAATCGATACCCATGGACTAGTACTCAATTCTACCTTGTACCTTCATGGCTTCCATCTCTTTGAAAGCCTTAGCCTGTTTTGTAAGTGGAAGTCATCTGGCTGACATATTGGGGCTGCATCCCCAGTATCAGTGTTAGGAGATATTTTACTTGTTCAGGTTAAACCCTGAAGTCCACTGGAGAAGGTGCCTCAATATTCCTTGAGTAAGTTATATTATCACCATTGCTGATCAGTTGTAGGACCTCAACAGCTCTGGTCAGCCACTCTTTTAAGTGAGATGGTATGCTGTTTTTATGTGTTTGCCATATGACTTCCTACATCTCTTCTCAAAGATGACTGTTTCTGATGTGGAAGTACTACCTGTACAGCCTTGCCTCTTGTGATTCCCCATCTAGCTTTGACTCAAATCTTATGGTTGTTGTATTCATGGCCCTAATGACAATGTCTTTATTCTTCAGATCCACAATAATCCTACCAACCATTAACCCATCAAGACACACTGGAATGTTTGTTTTTATTACAGCCTAGTCACTAAATATACATTTATTTTTAAAAATACCTATTATTTGTATTTCACTTCTAGTTTTCATAGGAAGTTCAACCTCAGTTGTAGTAATTGCCATGTTGTGCATAGGGATTTCTTGGCCATAGTCTGTGAAGTGATTTGAAGCTAACCTATCCTCGCATCCTTGTCTCCACATGAAGTTGGTTCCAAATATCCACTCTTACTCAATGTCAATTGCCCACACATCATGAGATGTATATAAGTCTCTTATAGTAAAGATAACTTCTAACATTCCTTTTGCTGTTACCTTATGTCCACTTGCTGTTTGCATCACTTCATCTTCCTTTTTCATATCTGGAGGTAGTTATCACCTTTAATTACCAAATTGGGTTTAACTATTATAGCTGAAGAACCTGTTTTGATCAACATACTGCGGGGCTTCTCATCAATAGACTCGTTGACTGGTTTCTTTAGATAGTGAATTTCTTATATTACCTGGGAAAATTGGGTATTCTCAGCTAAAATTTTGCCCCAGAATTTTAGCTAGTTCTTATTTTTCAATGTCTGGTTAGCCTTTCGTTTTTCTTTGGTATGGTTGGGCTTGAAAGCTCATCCTTGGAGTAATATCTTCTTTGTGTATTAACAGTTTTCAATTTCTCACAGCTTTGCTGTAATGACCAGATTTCCCACATCTCTAACAGTCCTCTTTTTCTGGTATCCTTTGGGGGGAATTCTTATTTCCTACAAGCTTTTGTCTGCAGTTCCTGACAATATGCCCATTCAAGGTATATTTAAAACACTTGTTACATTGTTATTTATTTCCACCATTCTATATAACTAGTCTTCTAACTAATCCTTTTAGTTATTCTAAACTGTCATCAGTGTGAATTAATGATTCTTTATTATTAACATGATGATTTCTTAACTTCAAGATGGTATCTTTAGTTGTTTATCTGTAACCTTAATGAATTCTAGTTCCTTCATCATCAGCACAGCTTCCTTTAAGGATGTGTGCTTGCTTTGCTTCAGCCTCATTGTCATATCTTCATCATTTATGAGGTCTGTAAATCAGTTACATGCCAATAAATCCATCATTTCATGAGAAACATCTGGTAAGATAACTGGGCAAACATTTCAAAAATCTTCTTCAAGTTAAGCTAAGATCTTTTCCTTCCCCCTGTACTGTATTCTGAAACTTTTCTCTGGATATTTATTTTCTGATGTGACACTCTGAACCTCTTGGATAAAATGGCTACCAAAACTTTTATTATTGTTATGGCTTTTAGTTTAAAGGTTGCTTAATGTTGTTAAAGCTAGTTCTTTTAAACTAGCGTCAAGGTAAATAGCTTGTTCACTCTGTAAATACCTAAAACTGAGCCTTGTATTACTCCCATAGTACCTTCCTATCACAATCCATTGGTTTCTTCATTAGCCAGTGTTAGATTACTCAGCTAAATTTGGGAAATTGATTGGTTAGTATCATGGCTGGAGTAGCCCAAGAAGATCTTTCAGTAACAGGTGGTACAGTAGTAGTGGTAATAGGTGTAAACCAAATAAGTTCTCCTATTTCATATTTTGTAGTAGATGGTATTTTAGGCTGAAGCTCTTAGCCATTGCAGAAAGAGGTGTGGGTGGTTTAGTCTTTGTGTTTAATAATTTGTTATCTAGGTGCTTTATTCTCTTACTGATGTAGTTTTCTACCTCAATGATGCTACTTCTTCAATTTTGTCATTACAGATTATATGTGCTTCTTCAGTCTTGTTGTTGCAATCTCTCTGTACATCTTCAATAGTTTCATTGATCTTGTTTTCAATCACATTTATTTTAACTTTTACTACTTTAAATAATTCGTTTCTTTCATTTATCTCCTTTCTTACCTTTTAGTCTTCATTTCACATCATTTCACATTCAAATTTTCTGTCCCGTTTTTCCTGGTCTTATTTATATACTCTGTTTCTGTTTGATCTTCTTTCCATTATTTTACCATGTCTAGCAAGTTTCCTATCTCAGTTTGTACTCTATCATGTTTTTTAATGAGTTAAGAAAAAGCTTAGTCAAAGTATTATTTTGACCAAAGTATCCCATTTTCTGACACCAATTGTAGCATGTTCTTTCTTTTATTGGTGCGTCCCTTTAAATTATATGGTGAAAATAATTGAAAGTCCAGTCCACGTAAATTATAATGAATTGCTTTATTTCTTTCTTTCTACAAGCTTGAACACTTCTACACTGTTATAAATCCTTGTAAGCCTACCTTACATTACAAAATACGTCATAACTAACGTAATATAACTCAACTTACTTTTACAAAGTAACTCTATAACAGTATAAGCACGATAGGAAGCACATATCCAAATGCCTCACGAAAACACACTAAGTGATTCAATTCTCTCTCTCTCTCATGAAAAACTACAATCTTAATTAACAATCTCATATATATATAATATACTTTGAAATATGCTAGAAGACTTTATCACACATTATGATTTTATAGGTGTTCTAGGCCTATCTTATTAAACCTTTATATCTGAATGTTATCAATAAGATCCGCAGCTTCCTCAAGCCAACATTTAAATTACAATATTAAAGATATAGTTATAACAATATAAAATTTCAATTTTCTTTGAAATGGTTAAGATGTAAAAGTTAATTATAATAAAATTTTTCACCAACATCCTTGGCTACATTTTTTCTAGGCAGAATGGGAAAATCAAGAAAAAAAACCAAGACAGCCGTGGCCCTCGAAAGGAGTCGTTGAATTTAGAAACTACAGTACAAGATATAGAGAAGGCTTAGATCTAGTGTTAAGAGATGTTGATATTGCTATAAAATCTGGAGAAAAGGTATTTCAAAGTGATGTCGCTGGTTTTTTTAAGTATTTCAACTCATAATGTAACTTTCAATATAATCATGTACCAAGTCATTGATTTTGACAACTCAGTCTCTCTAAAACCATGCACTTGCAAAAATATCAGATCTCATTTCAGATCAGGAATGCTAGATCTTGAACTAAAAAGGGAATCGGACAGATTTAAAAATACCAGATCTGGAGATATCTAGGATTCAATATTATATCATTTATAGGAGAAATAGTTATTAAACCACAGACTGAAATCTTATGTGGACAGTAACGTTGTTAAATGTGATGAATATATTAAGTAAACAACAGTAGTATATAAATAAAAGTAAAGTATTTGATATCCAAAATATAATGACCCACGATAGTGGTTCATAATAAGGAACGCAAAGTTTGTTTATTTGAAGTTAAGAACAAAGCTACTCAAAGGGCTATCTGTTTTTAGCGTTGTAAGTCGGCAGACATTCCGCTGTGCCACTGGAGGTGGGGGGCAGGAACACAAAGAATCCCACATAACCTTAATTGAACCTTTGGGCAAAAAATACCTTAAACAGTAAAGAATCAGTTCAAACAACACTTTAAAACCTTTATATTGACTGATAAGCCTGTACACATATAAAAATGCACAAAAAAGCACACGCGATACTTACAAAGAAAAGAAAATTTCGATCAAAATGGCCGATTGCAATTATTATTTTCCTGCCAGCGTACAGTAAAACCGGCTTGGTATGTTGCACACTAACCTCTTGTAGAATACTAAATAAGGTACTGTGGAGGTCTTAGAGGAATTGAAAAGTCGATCTGTGAATTCTATATTTTACATTAGTTAAAAACATCATAAATCTGGTGTAAACGATATTTTCGTTACCCCTTGAAGTTAGCTTTCTTACAGATATGTTTGTACACTATAAAATCAGTGTACAAACATATCTGTAAGAAAGCTAACTTCACTAGGGAGCCAACCTTTATGTATGACGTGAAGGAGTAAAAAATCAGTAGACATAATGTTTAAATTTTATTACACACATTCGTAGAACACTTACTTTAAAAAGATACGGTATATTTAAAGCGACGTTTTAGGCATATATATATTTTATTTGAAAAGGCTGCTATTTTGTTGGTAAAATTTTATACGCGTTTAGTGGGTTTGTCTTTGTCTAGGCATATAGTTGCCAATTTTTATGCATTATATATATTGAGAATTTAATTACACATAAACTATAAATGCTCACTATATTCTCAAACAAATCCCCATGACAATATTCAGCTGCAGCTTAACATTTTACATCTAGAACTAATGCGATCAAATAGTTAATAGCTACATACAGGATTCGCACTCGTCCTGGAATTAGTTTAATTCCTGTATTTTTGGAATTTCACCCTACCCTGGAAAAGTCCCTGTCTTTTTCATTTACACCTGAAAAATTGAAAGCCCTCCTACATTAAACACTTTACAGTCAAGTGTTTGTTGATATCTAATTCCAACGTGAAGAGTTCGATCATGTGTTTTTAACCATACACACATTTCCAGGTCAGGTGCAATTTATACGAGTCCTCTAGGTTTTAGATGGTGATGTGTTACCATTATGATCATTCATCATAGCGAACGCCACAAATATCATTTTCGATTCCCAGAACGAGTCTTTTTATTGATCGATCTGCAGACATAGCACGTTCGACGCACTCGTCACCAATCGATGCGCTGTCAAGCAGAAGAGTAACCCTACATATCGCCTGAAAATGCTGAGGGTCAAATGTATACTTAACGATGGGTGGCACAAGAAGCCTGAACACTATGTGTTTGAACCGAGATGTGGATAAATAAAATGCAAGATATACTTTGTACATGAAGGCATTTGATATCTCGAACATGGGAGAAGCGGCTTTAAAAAGCCACACTGCTGGCACGAAGCACATGAATTTGTGTTCTACAAGCGGCGGACTGTGTTCATCAGGAGGAATAGAATCTTTTTTTTTTAATAAAAGTGCTATTCAAACTAACTTCACTCATCCACCCCAGCTGACACAGCCACAAGTACATGTATTTCACAGCATTTGTATCAAAGTCGGATTGTTTAAAATTGAAATTCTGTGAACATTGAAAGTTGTTAATTCATACTACTCCTTCAAGTTTCGACTCTTGTTCGGTTGTCAGTCCATTTTTCGCTGAAAATGTTCTCAGACTCAACAGTTGCTAAACAGTTTTCATGTGGTGAGAGGAAATGTGTTTATTTGTGTAATTCTGGAATATTTGAAAATCAATGAACAAAATGGATATGTCTTGCTCTTTGAATTTCATGAAAGCCTAAATCACAAGAACAGAAACAACAACAAAAAAATCAGATGGGTGTCCATGTACGATTTGTGAAGATGACAAGGTCTGAATCAGACTAACAGTGTACAATTAAAAACATCAACAATAATAAATTGTAATACTACTACTACTACTACAACTATAAATATTTATTTTTCATAAAGATAGATAAAATACAGATAAGAGGTTGATTAGAATATACTTCCTGTGTTACTTTTTTTTGCTAACAATACACCTTCAATCATTATAGAAATATTTAAACATGCAAAAGTAAAGAAGCTCCCACGAAGCTTACTTAGGTTATTTGTGGAATACTTCGTTATAACTATAAACATATATTTCTATGAATATAAATATAACTAAACAGAAAACAATGACACCTAATTAGTTCAACCTCTCTTTTAACAGTTACTGGAATTTGGCCTTTGTTATTCCCAAACGCCATTTTATCAAAATCAATTACAAACTTTCTCGGTAGTAGATAGTCCAATCCTAATATGCATTCGTCTTCAATGTCCGCCAAGTATACTTTCTGTATGTCCTTTATGCCCATGAGTTCAATAGTTACCCACCCTGGTCACCACATCCTTGTAGCATGTCCCGTCATACCCTAAAGCTTCTGTGTG